ACATCTTTAAACCAAAAGTATTAAGATTAAGAGGCTACTTTCTTAAAGCAAAAAGTTAGTAATCCAAGAATGTAATTTTACATGCTGAAAAAATTACTTTGTGAAGTACAATAAAGGAATCCGTTTTACTTTGAAAATCGTATTAATCTATACTTATTTCACATAAATCTCTCAAAGCACGAGGCTCGATCTGCGCAAAAAAGGACCCAATTAAACGTCTCACCTACGAGTTCATCATATCCGCATGACTGAAAAGAAAACCAACTAAAGAATGGATTTTCTCCAATAATCGACGAGACTGTCTCACACTGCAGTGGCTCGCAAGTAAAACAAGAGAAAAAAAAGGAAGAAAGAAGGCCGAGTTCAACACTCGCGATACAAGACTTCCGCGAAGCAATCGAGAGAAAGAAGGCGCCGACACTAAAGTGCTCACTACTACTAGTGCTCGAAGCTTTTCCTCGAGCGGCAAAAAAGAACGGAGCGAAATTTAAGCCTCGCGCACTGAGTCAATAAAGCTTCCTTTTTTACCTCGACAACGCACGCGCCCTTTTTTTTCATAAAGTGCACGGTCGCAAGCTCGCCATGGCCATAAAGGAACGGTTTCTCGCACCTGCGGTTAGTTGCTTCGCACTTGTCTTTTCTTTTGAAGGACGATGTGGCGCCGCAGTTTTCCACTCTGAGGGAGGATATTTTCGCGTGTTCCGGCGTAGTTGGTCATTGAACTTATTATTCTGTGATGGATAGCTTTGATTTCGGGTGTAATCCAAGTTCCGACGTGATCGCGTGTCCGGCGATGTTGTAAAAGGAAAGCACCGTCTCGTTGACGTGAAAGTTCAATGCATTGTAATTTTTATTCGAAAGCTTTCATTTCAATCGTATAATTTTCTTCTGTTCTGTGTTTACCAGAGTCCAAAAATAGAAGGCATAGTAAAACTGCCAGGAAGATCCACTTATGTAAATGATCAAACATTCCCAGATGATTTCGCAACGCGGAACGAAACTCTTTCGGTATCCGCAGCTTCCATTGACCTCATGCCTTTCCACAAATCATCCGTGCTTTTAATAAGCCCGACACTTACATCCGCAACGGGGCAATACCCAAGCAAAACAAAGAAGCCTCCAATTCCGGCGATAAGAGGCCTTCCGAAAGAAAAGCTCAAGCTTATTAAATAATCAGACCATTCGTTAGCCGTGGAACAATAAGAAATCCAATATCCTTCCCTCTGAGGAAAACGCGAGCACCCTGCGTAATTCCGTAAGCAATAAGCAACGCAACGCGTCTAAAAACCACTTGCAATAAGATGGTACTCTTGGTACTTGAAGAAACGAAAAAAAAAAAAAAAAAAAAAAAATCCTGACAAAATTGTTTTCCACGCTGCGGCGCGTAGAAATACGACTTCGCGGCGCGGTATTTATTTAAGAGCGCGCAAGCTCTCTCTGTAATCCGGAAAATTTATATACTCTTATGAAGTCCCCCACGCGAGTACGTAGCACCTGCCCACCTGCCGCCGCAATGATCCTTCTTCTTTTATTTATCGCGCCGCCTACATACAGTTTCTGCTTCTTCTTCTACTTCTTCTTCTTCTTGGTTTTTTTCTCAGCCACGAGGGAGGCCGCAGAAAAAAAAAACGGCCAGATTAAATTTTCAACAGCACGCGAGAGCGATTGATGGACTTGGGTTCGCGGAAGGAAAGCTCTTTGCTGGATTACTCGGTCTATTTCGTAAGCGATTTACTGAATTTTTCCGTAGCCCTTTGCAGGAAAAAAGTGTTTTCCGGGAGGTTTTGATATTTTTACGCGTGGAGTTCACTGACTTACGATGCGCTTGGAGGGGAAAGCGCATCGTATCGTACCTAAAGATCTTTTGAAAATTGGCCGGATTTTCAGTTTGAACTTTTAAGTAAAACTGACGTACGCGCGTGCGAGAAAAATCAGTCGGAGCGATACGCAAATTTCCATTTAGATTAAATGGAATGTTTTACCAATGCACACTTGGAAGTTCGCATCGATCATTGATCGTCGGATTTATACAGCATTTGGGAATAGCAAAAACGTTCATACACAAATATAACTTTTTTGTTATTTATTACAAACAACGAAGAGAATATTATTCAGTTTAATGATGTATCAGTCAATACACATACATATGCATGTTTATAAATAAGATTTTTTCTTCGATTTTCATATTTATAATAAAGTATTGTTCCTGCAGCTCATAAAAATGTCGCGCTTTTAACGCAATCAATTGTTATCGCCACGCGCGAATCGTCAGTAACAGTTGAAGATTCGTTATATCGACTGGCAAGGATCTTCATTATTTGTTGTTGTTATAATCGCGGCCATAAAAAGTCATTACAAGCAGTCCTCGCAGCGTCGCGAGTCCCAAACGACTGTTGACCTGCGACGCCCCAGCGGTACTTCCTTTTCTCTTTCGATTTCAATCCCAAGCTCGCGCACACACGTGTCCCCTCGTCCTCGTGCCCACCCTACTTCCTGCATTCTTATCTTTTTTATGCGTCTACGAACGAACGCGTGAGCGCGAATCGCTCCGCAATGGACTATAAAGATAGGCGACGAAAGCAAAAAAATAAAAGAACGACGAGGCGTTACATAAGTAATACGGCAAATGCCCCAAATACCATGCTCTCCCCGATTCATTTCTCCCGTGTCGTTTGCCCTCTCGCTCGAGAAAATCACGCCGAGTTGAGCAAAGGGGTCTGCGGAATGCTTGAAATTTTCAGCGCTGTCTTCCGAGGACACCTTGAAATTTTTAGCTCCGCCCGTACACTCGCCTGTGCGCAGATGTCCCGCTGTACGATTGATTTTTCCCGAACGGAACGTTTTCTTCCTCTTCTTATTTTTCGCGAGAGTCAGTTGTATAATGCGAAGCGCTCGCGTACGGCGAATAACGCGTTATTAAGGTTTACGGTCGTTGGGATATAAAAAAATAACAATGGGAGCGCGCACAGATTTATTGTAGATAAGAAATCGACAGGTTCTTTTATGGTTTGGATTCCAAGGTTTCATAATGTATGATGACAAAGGAATTCAGTACTTAAGCGATGAGGCTTCAAATAAAATATGATATTGGCACTTTTTATTAATATTCTGATTATGCGACGACAAATGCTCAACGACGTGGAAAAGAAAATGTTCAATAGGTTATTGCAAAGAACAGTAAATTTATTATTTGGATACGAAAATTTTATTTTTCGCATAGTTGATGTAATGTTTCAGCTAATGTGAACCTTACGATGCGAATGATGATTTCGATAATGGAATTTCTCAAGCGGCCACCCAAACGTTTCCTTTTTATTTAACGGGAACAAGCTGAAAAAAGTAAAACAATTAATTTTATTACAGTTGACAAATCGTGAGAAGTAATAGGCTGTGTCCAAACAATCAGTCTCCCGCTGGAAGAAACAAAGAGAATACCGACTAAGCCAGCAAAGCTATCAGTCGATGAATCAAGCGGTCGCACGCCGTCGAGGGCGCAAGATAAAGATTTGCTCGGTACACATATACGCAAAAGGGAGGAACAAAGCCCACCTGTCGGTGCGTTTAGCGAAAGTCAAGGACGGTAGGGACGAAGAAATGACCCTTGGCATTATGACGAATCGTGTCGGCGGAAAAGAAATAGACTCGGGCCGCGTAGGAAGGACGGGTAAACAAGCAGTTTGCTATCATTTGTCTCGACTCCTCACGGTGCGCGCCTTATCTGGACAAGAGAGTTTCGGTTTAGGCGGCTCACGTATAGCCCAAGGAAATTACTCCCGGCGGCAGCCCTCGTGCGGCACCGGCTGCTGTGCTCTATACCGTTTTAATTTCATCCCTCTACGTAGTCCCGGAAAACGTTTACCGAAATGTTCGCCCTTTCCTGCGGTTCTTTTTCTCCTCGCTCGCATTTTTTTCCCCTTTCTCTCCTCTCGCCCTCGCCGCCCTCGAAATTTACCTTCGGACCGATGAGGAAATTTTAATGAGGCGTTTTTTATACTCTCGACTCGAGCGAGACTCTTGGATGGATGTGCGCCTTAATAACATTATTTGAATTTATTTACGGGCTTTTTTCTGCGATAGGATGCTACTGTCGAAAGCGAATAGGGAAGCAAATATACAATGCACCTTTGTGTCTTATGCTCTATGTTCTTCCACGATAGCAGGTGCATTGGAAGACAATTCTCCGTTCACTTGTGTTTGCCGTAAACGAAAGTTATTTTCTTCGAAATAAGAAAATTTCGTTGGATCAATTATTTCTTTCGGAATCAAAGCTTCTGCAACGCAGAATCATTTGCTAACGTCCTAACTTCCTTTTTTTTCTATCTCCGCCTAACTGCTTTTCTCCTGCACCCTCTAATTCTGACCGAAGTACATCCTGCTTGTGTTCGAGATGACGCCACCGGATGATGGGCCACGCTAATTGCAACCGCAAAGTCCTTGGCTTTTTTTTCCTCGTCGGTGGATTTCTTTATTTTTTTGTAACCGAAAGCTCAGACGTGTAATACCATGTGTTAGTATTCTTAATAAAGATTGTAATGACAACTGAGTCGATTAAAAAAATTAACGATAATTTCATTTTAATGAAAGCTTTATCATCTAAATTAACAATATTTTAAAACGTAAAATAGAGATTAAAAAAACGGCTTCACAGTCAAAATTATGCCGGTAACGAAGAAACAATAGTGTATAAAAGCGCAGGCAGACGCAATCAACATTCAACATCACTCCATATAAACCAGCAGGAAGTCTTAAAGACAAAAAAAAAAAAACACATGCGCGCGCACGCACGGTTTCACGCGGAGATTCTCTCGTAACGATTTATTCTACTACACTTTTCGCGTTCTGTGATCCTCGGACGCGCGGGCAGACCTCGAATCTTGGCAGATTTGATTGGTAATTAGTTGGCTATGGGCTTACGCAATACAATCTGATAAGAGCTCGCAAATAACCGAGCGCTCAAGTGAGTTGATGTCGTATCCTGTTCGCGGAGTTTTCCCGATTCTATATAAATTGCAGCGTCGACGCGCACCTCGCGCAATTCCAGCGTTGGATCGTTGGCTTCACTTTTCTTTTTTTCTTTCGCGCGTTTCGACTACTCTCACGCTTTCTGAGATGAAGTGCGTCTTTGCGGTGCTTTGCGGCTTCCTCGTAATGGTATGTATGCTTGTAGTTAATCGATGACTTTTCACACATCGAGCGATTTTTCATGCGATAATTTTAGAAATGAATTTTACTTAAGGCTTTATTCCGAGACTGAAGCTACGAAAAATTTTCGACGCAGGTGTTTTTAAATTCCGCGAAAGCTTGAATTCTTTCGAAATTGATTTTTTTTAAACAAATTTTGTTCTTATACAATTTTTAGGGCTATACCTACTGCATGGATCTTCAATTCTCAAATCAAATGAAAGAATGTGCAAGCGAAATGGGAATCTCTCCGGGTGATACATAATTGCATTACTTTTGCTTGATATAATAATGCGAAATTTAAAGGCGCATTTTATGCCGTATTTACGTTCAATTTTTAGACCAAGTGCTGGACATGGCTGAAAAAAATGACCCACAATCAGACTGCGTCCGTGCGTGTGTGCTGAAAAAGCTTGGTGCTGTGAGTTTCTTTCAATTGACTTTTAATTACATTATACGCTAAAAAAGAAAATAATCTTCGACAAGAGGACTCTCATTTTAAATAATTCTTCTACTTTGAAACATTTTCCTTCTGAGTGCAATTTTAAGGGCAGAAATTTTTCTTATTAACCTTTTGTTATCTTTTATGAATGAAGTATCAGCCACACATAAAAAAAATTTTCTTTGTGTTCGAAATTTGCAATGTGATGCAAAAAATTGGAAACGTTACATCAATATAGGATAAGCATAATTATTTCAGTAAAATTTCCCTGTTATTATGCACTCAGTTGTTTGCCAAAATAAGCTTTTAGTGCGTAATAAACATCAAATCTCTTTCAGCTAACAAACGGAATCCTAGACAAAAGTGTTTTGCTATCTCTTTTGGATCAAAATAAAGACAGTGTGTCTAATTACGATCAACTGCGCAATAACATCGAGACGTGTTTCACCGAAGGTAAAGCATAATACGCAACAATCAAAAACTTCGTGTATGGTTATCTTGTAAGCTCACGTCGCGTTTACTTTTCAGCTACGAGTACAGGATCGACCGATCACTGTCAAGTAGGCGGAAAATTCGGTAGCTGCATGAAGGATCACGCGACAGGTTAACTACTTCTCAATTTACGATACGTACCTATTACATATGTGGTTCTCCGAGTGTCTTTCTATTATATTCACTTCACGTGCATTGCAGTAAAAAAAATACAAAAAAAAAATATAATACACCACGTACACGCAACTTATAAAGACTTATTTTTATGTCGAAAGCAAATGGATTTATTGCAATTACGGATTAATTTCGGCGCTAATGAAAACCAATTCACGGGCATTCTCTTGTCATACCAAAATGACTGTCCAATCCCGATGGAATTCGCATTGCAATGTACTCGGAGTAATGCTTGCGCGTAAGCCCTCTTCACTAAATTCTGCTATTAATCGTACCTTCGGAAAGCGCTTCAGTAATTTGCATCGCGTATTGCGTGTTTGCATTCTCTGCGCGACCTCAATCATTTCAGTCGTTTAATAATCGCTTTTCAAAATATTTAATTCGAAAGCATTATGTGTACTTTAGACAAGGTCGATGACATTTCTTTTTTCAGTTATATAAATCAAATGAAAGCTGTCATTCAATTTTTAGATAATCGGCATTGAATCGTTGCAGGGATAACTTAGTTAGTCACGAAAGGAGCTTCTCAATTAAACAGTATAGCACAAAATGACAATAAATTTTGTCGTTGAAACGTCGAGTAAGACTTTGTGAACGGATGGATTTTCCTGTAGGGATATGCATTCAATTTAATCAAAAATGTACAAGATACATTAAAATAAATTAGTTTTTCGCCAACTTTGTATCTTTTAACATCGTCAGCTTTCAATCGTGGCAATTTGAAATTACTATTTTTGAAAAGAATTGGGAATATACAAAGCCTGTTACCTCAGGATTAATGTTTGGGCTTACCGTTCATACAGACAGAATCGAAAGAGCGAATTCACACTCACCGCGTCGTTTTGTCTTTTTCTCTCTCTTAAAAAAAATAGGGGTCGGGAGTCTGCAATATAACTCGCGTTAGTCCGAGCAAATGCAAATCAAAAGCGCTTAATCCGACTGCAAGTGCGAAAAGAGAAAGCGAAATCTGGCAATTTGCTCTTGAAAATTCTCGGCAAGCAGGCTTCGATTCGTAGCTTAGGCTTTCCCCCATTAAATCCAAACTCTCTCTCTCTCTCTCTACTCCATACATATATTTTAGCGTGTAAGTCCGAGAGCTTTCGCTGCTTCTATATATCCGGGGAATATAGGGTCCGACGCTGCCGCCACCAGGGCCGACGACCAATAACCCACGCACGCTCTTTCATCTCCGGTCTCTCCATGATTTACGGAGAACACGCGGAATCCGAACAATGTTAATTTCACATTGCGTAGGGGCGGGGAGGGCATATGTATGCTTACGCGCGTGTCCGTATTAACCACATCGGCGACGGAAGCTTTTTTCTCCATCCAGGAATGCTCACCCCTGGGCTACTGAGCGCACGTACGTCGCTAGCTCTCGACGTTGAGTTTTTGGCTATCGCATCGTAGTTTTTAAAAGCTTCGATGTTACATGCCGTACGAATTTGATTTTTCTTCCCAACAACTGCTCTGAGTCGAAACATTGCAAATTGCCCAACGCGGCAAGCTTTTGCGCTTCAACGTAAAATTTTCTATACGAGCAGAAAACTAATTGATTGACAAGAGCATTCAAACATGACCGCAGTCAGGCTTTTTATAATTTTGCGTTGGGTACACAGTCTATTCTGAGAATATAATTCAGAAATCAAAAAACGTGTAAGGGATTATCATTGCATTAAATTTAACTTTTTCAATTTATAATTACTTACTCATTATAAATTAATTTAAACTACGAGATACAATGTCGTAGTTAACAAAATTTTCACCTTCTTAATGAATAAAAAATTATAATTAAATTCATAGGCAACGTGATGGAAGATAATTAAAACAGAATCGTCTCTTTCAAAGGGATAAATATATTTTGTTAAAAAATTTAAGTGCACTATCAAGTGACTATTACACAAAATTTCAAAGTCTTCAATAGAATATTTATATGCTGTAATATAAACTGTGTTCAGCACCATTGATTCAATTAACTTTGCCAGAATACAACCATCTCTATATTCTTTATTTTACAGTATTACATTTTATATCAGTACTCTCAATCGCATTTAGTTTAACATGTATATTAAATAAAAACATAGTCATATAATTTATAATGAAAATATACTTGACTTTCTATCACTCATGTGATTTGTGTAATTATGAAATTAATGACCTATGATTTTAATAGGATAGTATCACTTACTCTACCTAAATTATGTTCTATTTACTAAATTTTGTATTTTTGTATTAAAAAACAAATATATTTAGTTATACATTTATTAATATTATCAGCAAAAATTGTTAGTCCAATTTGAGTTTCTTTAATATAAATTCTAGTAAAGTAAATAAATTATTATAATTTGTTACAAATCTGTGAAGAGAAAAATAAAATATAATTAACATTCGGCAATACTTTTTGCATCTTAACAAGAATCTTCTAAATATGATTGTATATACCTGAAATTTCATTGATTTACACTCTTTCTTGAAATGGCACGGACAACTTCACAAATGACTTTTGAATTCAAATTTCCAAAGAATTCAAATTCTGGTTTATCAACGATATCTTCCAAATTATTTGCAATGAATTCAATAATCTGTGCTTTCAATATAGGAACATTGCAATTCACAGCTAAATTGAGATATTCCACGGCGTTAACATTGGTAAGTTGTTCATAGAGGATTTTTCCACATAAAATTTTCAAACCATCAATAGAGTATTTATCTGCTGCTATCAATAGGTCAGCACCAAGCTGATCAATGTTATTGATTTTTCCAACGTATATAAATCTGAGTAATTCTTTCATGACCTCATATTTGATATCAGTAATTTCAAACACGTTTTCTTGTTTCTGATTAATGTAGTTACAGAACATCGCTTGGAAAACAGGACTACGAGTAACTAAAATAGCTTTGTGAGCAAGAATTTTCTTCTCTTGAACTATAAAAGTCACATCATTAAAAACTTCAGTCTCTAATAACTTTTGAAAATCATCAAATTCTTTTAATCTGTAGTTTGATTCTTCATCTTTTTTCTCTGAGTTAATGCTTTTAGTAATTATAAATGGTTCTGCCATAGCAACTGTAAGGTTGAAATTTACTTCACACAATATTTTTAGCGTATCATTTCCAAATTCATTATTCTCTTCATAGAACATGGAATTATAATTCTTAAATTTAGTAAAACCCCATGATTTTGATTTCTCATTGAATAATCTGTTTTTCATTACACGCTTAAAGATTCTTTTATTCTCAAAATTCAAGATAGAGAAGGTGATTTGAGCTTTAACTTCACTTTCTCCAAGATACTCAACAAAAATTGATAAATAATTTTCAAGTCCACGTTTGTTGCTTTTTGGATAAAGCCGTAAACGCCATTCTACGTTATTATTATGAAGTTTCGTCGAAAATATAGGTGATAAAAAACATTCTTCAATAGCTGCGGATTTGATGGACAAATGATTTATTTCCCACTTATAACTCAATACCATAGGTTGGAGAACACCCACATCCATAGTTACCATTGTGAGTGTTAAAATGATTATTTCCAGCAATTATTTTGAACGATAAACTGAATGTCGATTTACAAAATGTGTAAAATTGCAATGCAGAGCCAATAATTGAGACTTGTCAGAAAATAATCGCGTCAGCACGCAAAATAAGTGCCATCTACAAAACCAACATGATCACTATAGGAAGCTCACAAATCAACTGATTACGGAGAAATGAACTGTCATATATTTAAAATGGACTATATTCTAAAATTAACGATTCTCTGTGTATAGAAATTATATATCAAAATCAACAAAGTCACGAATACAATGCGAATGATAATTATAATTGACAAAACACGTTGAAATGAGAGGCTAATTTGAAACGTATTCGAATACGAAACGAATACGAAATGAGTGAATCTTATGGAGACACAATACTCTCACCTAGAGCATTATGGTTTTTAATAACACACAAAATCATGAGTAACTATCGCTTGCATATTTAAGTGTGACAGGTGACTGAGTAGACTGAGTGCGCAGTCACCATATCACCTCTTCGCTACCTACTGGGATGTGCGGATGCATCAAAATCAACATTAATTTTCGTTTATTGAATGTCATTATCGTTTGGATTTTTGTTTGCGTCTTGTGAGTTGTAAGTATAGTTCCATCAGGAAATAAAAATATCAAATTAACCTTTTTCCTTATAATTGATGTTGATTTTGTACTTGGCGGGTCGTGAATTAATGTCTGGATACTCAGTGGGCAGTGCTAGTGTGATACTGATTCAGCTCAATAGGTATAAATTTAACGATACGTACTACTCCTGCTGTTACGGCCGTATGTAATAATTGTAAGTACATTTTTCAAAATTTCTGTTTCTTGTCTACAATATACTACATCCCGATATTACAAATTTATCATCTGCAATCTAATACAACAAATATAAATTTTGAATTTACATATGCAAATATATTTAGATCGCTTATAAAGATATTCTTTTACTAAGAAAAGATATGATATTTTTAACTATATAAACAAATAATTGTGGATGTAACCGCATACATATAGCTTAGATTTAGATATTAATATAAAAGTAACGTCCTGCGTATATTTACCAAGAACAAAGCTTGATCGACCTAGCTTTCAGTTTCATTGGCTATACCATCATATCAGGGAGTGTCCACACGGGATCCGTGCTACTTTCCGACCCCGGGTCCGTCCCTGTCCGAATTTCTATATACGCATACCATCTCTATAAGTTCGAGTTCAGTGGTGAGTTTCATATTAAATACAAGAAATGCATCTATGAAATTGCTATATCCGTGATTTATAGCTCCAATTTTATTTAATCTGTAAGTTGGTGAGTTCGTAATCTTTCTTTCCATTATACCGTACGGAATTACAACTAATTATCTGTACTTTTAGTTTTATTAAATTGCAAAATATATAACGGATGCCTACAAGGCGATAAATCACGGATATAGCAACTTCATAGATGCGTTTATCACATTCAATATGAAACTCACCACTGAAGTCGAAATTATAGAGATGGTGTGCGCATACAGAAACTCGGACAGGGACGGACCCGGGGTCGGAGAGAGGCACGGATCTCGTGTGGACACTCCCTTAGTTATTTATACGTCAGCAGTGTAACGAGCGTCATTATACCTGAGGAGGAAATCTTTTCAGCGCGGGATAACATAAAAGCTGAGGCAGCGAGCGTAGCGAGCATAAAGCTAGTGTTACTGTACTAGAGGTTATGTCAGCATGAGAAATCAGTTCCAAGCACGGGTTTCTGATAAAAACTTGATCAAAGCAGTGTTACGCTCCCTGACAGGCCTTGATCAGTATATATACTGGTCATTATCTGGTCTCAGCTCAGTCTAGACTGAAATCATTTCTCTTCGGGTACAGAACCCGGCTGAAAATGTTATATTCTACATAATTCAAAGTTCAGTAAGAACTTTTAGTCGAAAATATGAATTCGTTAAATGCCAATTAAAAATGATTGGAATTAGATCAGAAAATAATGCTATTAAAATCTATTCAAATTGATTAGATTTAAAACAATTAAATTTAATGGATTATCTATAACAAAATTACCAAAACTTAGTGTAAAATTTGTTTAATAATATAATTTATATTCAATGGACTGTAACAAAACAGAAATAATAATATAAAGTGGCTTTCAATATCTTTTCTTCAATCTGAATCTTTCGAACATGTTTGCGATTCGAATCCTTGACCTCCTGCGTATTAATCTACTACTTGAATCACGAAACCACCGATGACTTTATGATCGTATTGTTGCATTTGACTTATAAATTACGTGATGAATATTAGCATAATACGCTGTATTCTTTAATAGTGCTTACATTCAAACTTTTTAATTATAGTTGCTTTCATTTTATTTTACATTGAATTACATGTATATCCTCAAAATTAATAAACTGTTTTGTGTCTTTCTTGGTCTCCGTTTTTAAATTACGTTTAGGCAGGATACTAACTATCTTATAAGGTTCTAAATAATGATTACCGAATTTACCCGGTTTAGGATCCGATTTTAAGAAAACAAATACACCTAAATTAAAATTTTTTGAATTTATTTTTTTAATTTATAGTTAATTTTTTTGAGCGTTCTTCAGAACTAACTAGATTTTTTTTAAACTTAATTTTATGTACTACATAAATGCGTATCTAGGTTTATATATCCGTTATAAGTAGGTAACATATCAGCTTCGCAAAGGGAGAGCCAATCGTTATTAATATCGGTGTATTGTTTCAAGTATACAGTTAATACGTGGTGGGATCTCTCAAGCGAGCCATTACATTAAGGTATGAATGTCGTGGTCTTTAACTTTTTTATTTTAAATCTCTTGGAAATACGTGCCATTAGGGAGCTTAAAAAATTGTTACCCTGGTCCATAAGTGCAGATAACACAAATAAACTTTTTGATGAAAACGTGAGCTATTGTTGATGATAAAATATCTGTTAAAGAGACAGCAAGGAAAAATTTTCTCCGTTGGTCCTACAATTCTGTTTTTATATTTAATTAAATTTGAAGCGAGAGATACATTATTTTTGTCCAGTGGCCCGAAAGTAGCTAATACGCACCGAGGTTAGGAAATTGACGTATTTGACAAACTCTGCTTCGCCTCGGTAGTCTATTCGCTCGTGCTATGGACTTACGAATACTTTCGCGGTCTAGGTACGTAATCAACTATTTTTACTATTTTGCTATATTCTGATTTGATTTTTTAATGAATAAAGACCGATTGAAAATGATGACCGATTAAACTGAATTTGATTGTGACTCAATTTTTTTCAAAACGTCTCCAAGCCAAAAACAATATAAAAATTCAACAATCACGTAACATTTTCTTCATTTTCTAGAAACTTAATCAATTGTGTTTATTTGCTGGCGAATCGATAATTATTCAGATAGGTATATATGTACAGTAAAGCATACAAGTAAAACCAGTGACCAATAAATAAATATTTTAAGATAGTCTCTGTAGCGTTCGGTTAATGTTTTACATGAGAACCTCATTCAGTTTTGCGGTGCCATCGTTATATATAAGCTTCTCTCTGATCCTCTAGAATTCAAGTTACAAGAGAGCGATTCCGCATGCAATAAAGGAGATTACACGGAAGTCGACTATGATGAACTATGCTAATCTGATTCTCCCTCCAATGAAGCTTAGCGATACAACACTTGATTTTCTTGTTTACTCGGGGGTTTCGAAGCCGTTGCCTAGTGCTAACAATGGCCACTGTGAGCATTGTTTGAGCTTATTTAACATAAGCAAAATCGAAACTTCGTATGAATTCTTGTTGCCCTTCATTCATAAAATTTTTTGTTTTGCAAAGTTTGAAACTTTACGTTCACTAAACTGTATGAATGACACTGTCGATTGAAATGTACTTCAAAAACAAAAATTAAGACAGCATCTATTTTTTGCGAAATATTATCAATGAACAATGTATACGATATATTGTACTCTCAAAAAATTTGATCAGCGTTTACTAGAAGGAGTCGTAAAACTAAAAATGAATAAGACTTATTCCTCGTTCAATTCTCCTTGAAGCTGACGCAAAACTGAGTGCAAGAAAAGTGGGAATTTCCTGTCGATCAGCGAATTCAAGAAGCCATAGCGGCTGACCGCTCAGTTATTCTTTCTGTTATGACTTTCCGATAGATAAATGAGTCGCTCGACACTGATTTTACTTTTATTTAATCGGGCGCAGGTCGTCGTGCGATGCAGCTTGAGCGCGCTATAGAGCTTCAATTTCTCCAACGCGAACTTGACCGGACTCGGGGTTGATGCACTTACTATGGTTTCTGGCTTTTTTCACAGTTCAGTTTTATTTATATTAAGCTCAACGAACACGAAATACTTTAATTAAAAAATATTTCTCCACTTTGCTATTATTTTTGTTCTTAAGTTTTTAAATAAATAACTAAGATTTAATCAAAGATATTTTATATACTATTAGACATTCTATTTTTTAAACGTTTTACTGCTTTCTTAATCTACTACAATATAAACTACGCTTTTTTTTGATCATATACGAGGTTTGTCCGGAAAGTATCGGGCCTACCTTTATATTTTCATGCTAGCGTTATTCTTTATCATTTGGTGGGTAGCATCCTTCAAAGTAATCTCCACTTGATTGAATAACACAGTTTCATCGATGTTCCCACTTTTCAAAACAGTCCTGGAACTCACTTTTAGGGATAGCCTTAAGTACACTCGTCGCATTGTTTTCAACTGTTGTTTTGTCATCGAATCGGTGTCCTTTGAGTGGTTTTTTTAGTTTTGGAAACAGCCAAAAGTCATAAGGGGCTATTTCGGGACTGTATGGAGGTTGTCGAAGCAATGCGATATTGTGTTTGCTCAAAAACTGCTGCACAAGATTGGATTAATGCGCTGGCGTATTATCGTGATGGAGAAGGCGTTTTCTTCTTACTGCATCACGCAAACGGTTTAAAATTTGAACGTAGTATTCTTTATTGATTGTCTGACCTGTTGGGGCATGTTCGTGATGCACAACACCTTCACAATCGAGAAAAACAATCAACATTAACTTAACTTTGCTCCGACTTTGACGTGATTTTTTTGGTCTTGGCAATTCAGAATGCTTCCACTGTGAAGATTGTTGTTTTGATTCAGAATCATAACCATAAACCCATGATTCATCACCAGTAATAACCTTTCTAAGCACATTATCATCATTATTGATCATTTCCAGATTGTCCAGAGCGATTTCTAAGCGAATGTTCTTCTGCTCTGCTGTGAGCAATTTTGGAATGAATTTTGCCCACCGCGTTACATTCCTAAATTTTTGGTTAAAATTCCTGAAATGATAGTTTTTGGTATCCCAAGGTCTTCTTCTAGTTCTCGCACAGTCATACGACGATCTTGTTCGATTGCAAGTCGCACCCGCTCAATATTATCTACGGTTTTTCTCGTCGAAGGTCGGTTGGAACGAGAATCACTATTTACAGAAGTGTGACCATCCTTCAACCGCTTATACCATATACTCGCTTCCGAAGGCCTTTTTCATTATTTCAATAGTTTCCGAACTCGTTTTTCCGATCTTGTTTTTCAGTCATTTTTGACAATATCAAAATCCAATGAACGTGAAAAAGGCAATGTAAACAAAGATACGCTGCGCATGAACTATACGTCCGGAAGGTGTCAGTAAGTAACTTAGTAACCAATAGATTCGTGAGGCTTTACTGTTGATGTCTCTCTCTGGCAGAGGTCGCTCGAACACTATGGCGCGAAGATATAAACGTAGGCCCGATACTTTCCGGACAGACCTCGTATTATGCTTAGTAGCCATGTAACATTTAAATTTTCCATTCATAAAAATATACCCGGAGGAGTATTATATTTACATACAAATATTATATTATTTACGAAATTGTCGACGACAAAATTCTGCTCGATGCTTAATTTGTACATAATTTATAGATAGATATTATACTTTGTATTTGTTTACAATTTGTGTACAAATATTTGTGCACTATTTGTATAAAAATATTATACTTATAAAGGTGCAAACAACAAGATTCCTGATGGGTATTGATAAAAATTAATGGTATCACCTTCAGTTATATTTTTATGAATAAAAAGTTTACATATTACGTTTCTACAAAGTTTGATATGTATAAATGAAATAGTATAGTATGTATAAGCACGAATAATGTTTAATGAGTGAAAAATTAATGTTTTAATTGCGCTAAAATAACAACAAAAAATGGACACTGGAAACTTTAACGTTCTTCTTCGATAATTGCACAGCCCCTTTTTTTCTCAAAGGACACGAATTTAAAAAAAAAAAACTGAAAAACTTATAGAAATACGTGAATCGTGCATTTTAATATTCTTTGATTTGATCAGTTTGAATAACTGACGACATTCTCAAGCCAATTACGACAATTACGCGAGTATTTAAGAAACGCGCAAAAACTTTCAATTCAAGATGTAGAGCGATTCCATAAAATTCTATTTGTCTGTCGGAATGTTTGAGCGTCTGTTAAAGCCATTGTTTGGGAAAACTGGAGCTCCAACAAATTTTAATGGAAATTACCAAGTGAAGGGATTTGCGTCTCACGCCAGCTAAAATCATGCCAGTCGGCGAAACGCACGGCTCGCCGAGACGTCAACGGGCGGGGGGAGGGGACACTCGCGAACAGAGCTAATTTACCTAAACGGTGGAATTTGGCGATTGTCGTGACAGCGCGCGCGGGAAACAAACGCGCTCGCGGCCGGGCGACGACGAAGGGTGGGAAATCATGGTCTTTGCTGCTCTTTGGCTTACGCGCTGCTTTCGCGGCCAACGAGCCAAGCCAAGGCTCGAGAGTGAAATATACGTGAAATTCAGCGTCTTCGCGCTCGCGCGCGCGTATACGTTTCGGGATGAATGCCGAGGAGTCTGACGGAGACGCTTTCGCGCCTGCACGGGGAAAATGAATTACAACGGGCCGTTTTTTTCTCCCCGGAGCGCTGGGTTGTCTCCGCTTTCAGCTGCGCCGCCACTCGCCGATCGTTCATTTACTTTCATTGAACATCGACGAAACGAAAACAATTCCGCAAGTTCAAAATGTAATCGCTAAATGCTCATTAGTGCAATTGCGCTGCTATAACGATATAACGGTATGCAGCTAGGCGGCACTCGCAACTATCCACTTAACGAATCGCCAAACTAGCTGACCGACCGTCTCCGCAAGTTCGTTTTTTTTTGTATATTCCTTCGAGTGCAGGTTAAAAGCACGGTCTAAGACCTGAATAAGCAACGCCAATTTGAATACCTAAAAAGGCGCCGGCTGGAGAGCGCAATTGCGTCCCTCTCCCGCGCTCGAAAGAAAGCTCGTTTCAACGCTGACGCAGGTATCCCCCATTTCGCCATGGATAAAATGTTAGAGGCTCGCGCCTCGTGATGCACACCTCTTCTCTCGCCGCCCTCGCCGTCTCGTCGTCATCGCAGCCGTTAAGACCACAGGCAGTAGCAACAGCAGCAGCAGCAGCAGCAGAGAAGCGCTTTTCGGAATAATTTAATTAGCGAGCGCCGCTTGTGAGTGGAGTGGCTGCCTGCTGCTGCTGCTGCTGCTGCTGCGTCCCGTGGGTTTAATAGCGACTCCTCTCTCTTTTGCGTTTGCTATTCCCCTTGGGAGGAGACGCTAGACTCGCTCGATCGGTTTAACGAGGATGATCGTCGATGTCTTCGCTTAATGAGCACGCGAGAGAACTCGACGTTACTATACGTGTGGCCCGCGCGAGCCTCTCTGACTTCTCGAGAGATGTCTCGAGGATATTGAGGATGTTGGTAGACATTGAATTTACTTGATTGGACTAGCTGACGACTTCATCTGATTTGGCTAATAGCTTTAGTTGTCGGTTTAATTCTATATTGTTGCCAATTTCCCTAATTAACGATTTGATCGAATTTAGCAATTTTGTATATTGTTTAGTAAACAAGTGGTTCAATTGAGATTTAATTTTACTGGAAAAGCGATTACTAGATTTTTTCAATATTTTAAAAGCAATATTTTAAATTAAACGCATACATTAACAAAAGTTCGTTTCGTTGGTATTGTAAATATGAGTTGTTATTTTAATAATTTCGCCAGAAAATATTCAGAAAGAACATTTCAATTTACGATTTTAGTAAATGTATAAAAAAGTCGATTTTGTTCAATTCTACCTGTTTGGAGCTTAAAAGCTGAAATACTTAGTCTCGCTTTGTCCAGTTTCAGATAACACAATTATCGCTTAGGTGCGGCGCACTCTAAACTAATTTTCCAACTGTTACTCCACGCACCTGCCACACCGACTCTCTGTGGGGTCCATTGAAAACTTTTCTGCAGACAAAGAGAAAATCAAATTGACTAAATTAAAAAGATTACTTCTCGACACTTTCATCAACATTTTTTTCGAGTGCGAAATTTGCTAGAAATTCACACGATCGATTTAAAAATTTATTCTTTAGTAAATAAATTATTATTATTCCCTTAGCGGCAATAAAATTTTCTTTTCTACTGTATAATTAATCATTTCACAAAGACGTCGTACTGCGCAATTGGTAGGTGTACCGCTAAAACTTCTCGGTAAAAACGATTCATGGAGACTAATTCCACGATGTTCTCAACGTTTTACTTTCGCTCTGCCAAGCACAACAAAAACTTTTCGCAAACTTTCAACTTCAAACGAGGAGACGGAATAGCGCGCGCTCGTGCTAAAAAAAATAGAATATAATCGCGGGAGACATAACATTGCCACAGCGGATTTTCAGTGGTCCTTTGAGCTCCCAAATGTAAATGGCAATTTTCGAAGTTTTTGCCTGTCTCTGTACTCAGTCCATTCCCGAGGTAACGAGATCCGGTGGGGCAAAAAAAGTTAAACTTTTAATTAAAAAGTAACTGTGAGCGCGTGAGCGAGCTTTCAAGTCCATCCCTTCGCGAGGGGGAAGGGGTCAGAAGCGCGACAGTTTGATTGCGCCAAAGGGAGAGTTTTTGACCTCTTTGTCACCAAGTTCAGAGATTCCACCCCCCCCCCCCTGCCCCTCTCACTCTCTTTCTCTTATTATTTACGTGAAATCGATCTTTGCGCGACGATTATTTGGTGGCCATTCATCCTTCACTCGTACTTGTTATAACAAGTCGCAAGCTTCTTCGTCAAAGCTTTGCATCGGATATCTTTCATTGGTAAGCTTTCAAAGTAAATCTCATTTTTTTATTAATAACTTTCTTTCAATAAATCACGAAAATGTTTCCTTCTAAAGAAGCTTGACACATGTTGCTTATATTTCTTTTGATTTCATGAAGAACTTTAAAGTACAGAAGTAATATTCGATATTAATGCACGAATAAATGCAAATTTCATGAAACATATTTAATAGCCTTCTCTAAAAAATTTACTACCGTTGACAGATCCATCATTGGTAATTTTTATTTCAATTTTTCATATAAACTAATTGAACCAAGAAAAATGTCTCTGCCAGTTTGCAGATTATTAGATTCGTAATGTCAAACGTAAATTGTTCAATGCCTTCATATTGGAACACATTTCACCCGTGCTTATAATACTCAAAAATGAACATTATGCAGAAAAGTATCGAGGATAAAGAAAAGAATAAATGAAGTACAGAAATGAATCGCTTGACGGATTTCGAGGCTCAATACGAATTTGCTTTGCAAATTGCACAAAAGCATCGCCGAATATGAAGCTCAAATCCCTTCAATTCGCCAAGGTTTAGGAGAGAAAACAAAGGATTTTCCTTGCGGACAAAGGCGCCGATACAATCCTTGCCCCCTTCTCTCATGAAGATGAAAAATCGCGCGGCGTCGAGATTAATTTCCGTTCAACGGCGGGGCGGCAGCAACGCGTGGCTTCGTTAAACTCGTCTCACTGTCGCGTGATTAATTGAGCCGCTCTGTCATACACTCTCGCTTTCTTTCGTCGCTTCTCGTATGAATAATTTCGTCGCTTAACCCCCCCTCCCCCCGCCCCGCGCATCTCGCTTTTTCTCTTGCGTGCGAATAATTCAGCGCCGGCTGCTCGTAGTAAATGTATCGCGCAAGTTGTAGAGATCTTGTGTGCTGCACGCACGCAATGTCTTCGTTTTCATCGTCTCGTCCCCCTCTGTTCACTTTTCGCCTCCCTTCTCTCTTTCCCTGTTATATGTAGCTTCGCTCGTGCAGTCTGCTTTTCTCGTGACCGAGACTACGTCTGTTGATTACATTTCAATTATTCGGAGGCTTCAGCTATCGAAGTGGTTTATGAGACTATTAAAATTGACTTTTATAGCGTATGCAATTTTCGCTCTTGAAGTTTCAAAAATTTATTGTGTTCATCTTGCCCGGGTCTCTCCTATATCCGAATAAAGTGAATAAATACAGATAGCATATTCTGTTTGAAGTGAATAATCAATGGTCATTTGTGAGTGAACAAAATAGTTGGCTTAAAGAACCTGACTGATTTACATGAGAGGCCTTCAAAGAGTTGGCACTACTGAAAATGTTCCATTGATAGTTAATGAAATTTATTAAATTTTAATTATTCAATCGCTTTTAATAAAATCAGTGATTTCCACTATATGAGTCCATAGAAACTCAATTGCTTTTAATCAAATTTAATCGTAGTCACAACAAATATGAAAATCTACAATTAATTTCAGTACTATTTAATCACTTTTAATATTATTTTAAATAAATTTTAATCCTTTTTAATATAACCAATTATTCAATCAGATTGTATTTTATAGTTTTTAATATTTTCCAATACATTTCAAAAGAACGAACAAATCAATCGTATTTAATTTAACAATTTTATTAGTACTTTATCTAATAGTACAGGAAAGCAGATTTTTGTTTAAGGGAAGCGAGAAATTCGTGGAAAACACGAATATAAACGCACCTTTTTCACCGAAAATGCGGGAATGTACTGTGCGCACGATGAGTTGGGTTGAAATTAGTATATATAACGATACAAGTGCGGAAAAGTAGATTCTCATCTGGTATGGAAAAATACACAAGACGAGAATAGAACTATAAATTTAAACTTTTTATTTGAAATTTATTTTCATATTTATAATGGTAGCGTGAAGTAATAAATTAAATAAATTGAAACTTAGGATAAAATAAATCGAAGAAAATAAATAAACTAAAAAATAATTTTATTTTAAAGATAAATTAAACAAACCTTATGTATATTGTAAAAAAGATACAAAAAGGCAGAGTTAAAAGTATATGCTTCTTGATTGAAGGTAATGTTCGTTCTATTTAATGATGCAATGACTCACGCAGCTGCCTTCCTCGTCGTGATTGCTAGAAGTCATGATAGAGAAAGTAAGTAACCTTTCGTCCTTTCCTTATTGTCGTTGTATTCTGTCTGTATGTTTTGCTTCGGTGTAGCCTTTACGTCGAAAACATCAAAACATTTCTTTTTTGGAAAAGTAATGAAATCGCAACTCGACGAAAAATAATTTTATTGTTGTTTAAAGTTGTTTATTTTCAGGTGAGTATATTTGTGGATTGTCTGGCAATCGATTGTGAAATTGTTACTGTCGTGTTTCAAGTGACCATACATAATATTAGCGAGCTTGAACCATGAGAATAATGTACATTTACCATTTAGATTAAAGTATAATAATAACTCAAATAAGATTTACACTTATACGATCATATCTTATGTAAAATACAAGTGATGTATCAGTATGTTATATTCCCAGAAGCATTAATGATTATTTAAAAATGTGTTTTAAAACGAAAAAAAGATCAGAACACGATAACATTAATAGAAAATTACTAAAAGAACTACCTCTAAAAGCAAAAAGATTCATTATAGTGATAAATACAATATTTTGACTATCTTATTTTCCAGCTGTATGGAAAATAGCAACAATCGTACTTATCCCAAACCGGGCAAGTTATCTGAACTTATTTCGTCTTACAGATCAATCAGTCCACTTCCTACATTCTCAAAAGTTCCCGAAAAAATAATAATCAAAAGGCTAAAGAAAATTTTGCTGGAATAAAACATTATACCAGATCATCAATTCAATTTTTGTAACAATCACGTTACAGGAGCAAAAACGAACAGAGTAATCACTAAACTCCGGAATATTTTTGAAAAAAATAGATATCGTAAGTCATTATGTCTCGTCGCAGCCCAAGCATTCGATAATAAACTTCTACCAAAACATTTCCATCTACTTTAAATAAATAATTGAAAAATAAATACTTCAAATAAATAACAAAGCCACTGAACTACGTCCAATAAAAGCCATTTCTGAAAGAAAGTGTTTTGGTCCTATAATATATTTAATTTACACCCATGATTTGATTAACACCCATCCTCTAACCATGAAAAATATTAAAATCGCCATTTATACAAATGACACAACTATTTTATCGTCATACTCACATGCAACAATGGCCTTTTATATAATATGAAGAAATATATAGATAAAGTTATGGTTCAAACAACGAAGAATAATATTGAACGAAATAAAGTTAATTCGAGAAGAAACTTGTCCTCGAGTACATATAAGCAACAAATCAATTCTTCAAGGAGACAAAGCTAAACACCTTGGGGTGTTATAACCAGGAGCAAATTTTCAAGAATTATTTGTAAGTGCTCGACTTAATCAAATAAGATGAAATTAAATCATCGCAAGTTTCTAGCACCACAGGGGACAGACCCTTTGTCCTGGGCGTAAAGTGGAGACGAATTCAAATTTACGGTTGACGATTTAACCTGAAAAATGAGTAAAAATACGTTACATATCCCGTAAAAACGTTAAACTAATAGATCTCAGACATTTTTGTTTTCAATGAATTTTTACAGAAATCTATAGTTTTAGAGAATATAAACATAACAACTAAATTATAAATCAAGCAAATTGACTGAATTTATATTTATGTGAATAAAAATCATTAAGTTGAAAAAATATCGTGTTTTAGCTATCACTTTGTTTAATAAACCAATATTTAGATAAAGCAAAACATTTATTTTTAGTTTAGTTATTAAGGTTAAGTTATATCGATGTATAAAGAATTTATGTATCTTTTGTATTTATATAACATTTGTGTATCTTCGATTCATTTTAACTTTTAATAAAAATCGATTATCCTTATATTCGTATATTTTTCCTTAAAAATTTTAGGTTAAAATTAAAATTATTTTGCGATATATATTGTTTTATATATATTCGGTATACATCGAACGAAACAATTTATGTCTTTAATATTAACATAATTCTTTTTGAGAAATCACTGTAACCTCTTGACTCGGATGACAAAATATTACTTCGCACAGTAACGCCAGCGAGTTGTATCATTTATAATACTTTGTTTTGTAAATGACAATATCAGCTTAAATGGCGGTTATTTAAATGTGCGTCTTTTATTGTGGGTAGAATATTTTGTTCGCTCGGAGTCAATAATCGAGAGTCTGCTATTACTTCGATCTTAGAGTGTCACTCGGCAAATAAAGGTATAGCGATACATGATCCTTATATTGTTTATTCTAATCTTTTGGATACGCTTGTAAACGCCATTTATGATTTTTTTATCGTATGATATCGAAAATACTGATCGTACGTAATATCCCCCATTCTTTCACAACCGGTGAAAAACTATTCGATCTTATATTGAAAACTTGATGTTTTTTGTTGTAAATTGGCTTTCGCTAATCCTAGATTAATTTCGAAGTATTTATACAATACTGTCGAATATTTTGGAGATATTTGTGTTCACGTTCGTTAATAATACGGCTGTAGGCTTACAATTTTTTTTAAATATTAAAAAATCATTGTCCAACTTTCTCCAGTAAGTATTTGAACGAATATTTTACATTTACTTCTTACGAATATTATAAATATAATAAATACATTGTTATATCATCAAAGAAACTCATACTTATATATGAGAAAAGTATATCTGTACATCGTTCATCGCATTTGCAGATTTTTTTTTCACTCGGCTCACCCTCTAATCACTTCTTCGTCTCGCTCGTATTTTCGTTCCGCGTCTTTTCCTCTCCACGGCCCTCGATTCGCCACAAGCAGTTTTCCCTTATCACGTGCCAGCCACAATCAAGCGTATCCATTTCGCGCGCGGAGCCGCAATTAATTGGCTTTCATTTTTCATGTACAAATGGGATTAAAAGACAAATTGATTTACCAATTAGGCAGAGAGAGAAAGCGAGAGAGTGCGTTTTCTGATCTGCTTCTCCTTATGCTTCAATAATGTATAAGGGGAGGCCTGACTAATGTGCTACGTGCCTTACTTTTTCTTCCTCATTCTTTAGCTTACCGTTTATTTAATTTCTGCTGTCGGAGAGATTTTTCGATCGTGAAGTATCCGTAAAAATCTTGTTCTATATTGCACAAAATTCATTGTAGTGATAGTTCTTGTTGTCAATTAAAATTAATGTATAACTTTTATGTTTTTGTATCTCTGCTATACTGGAGGCTATACAATCTGTACCATGCTCAAATTGAACGATACTTCCGAATATTAGCTTGTACTTGATGTAATACTCTGCATAAAAGTAATAATTTATTCTAATTCATATCTACTGTTACTTTTTTTCTGTTCCCGTGACTTGGACATCCATACTCAATACATTAAACATTCATTCAAATTGAATATTTCATTCATTTTTCATTATCAGAACGGCAATTAAAGAGTAATTTACACAAACAAAAAAAATTAGCAAAGCTACTAATTGGGAATTTTGAATTAAAATACTTTGATTATAAGAATAGAAGGTAATACTTATAAGAATTAAAAATATAAATTATTTCTGTTGTGGCATCATTACGTTATTGACGTATTTTGAAATATCGGAATTTTTGTTTTGTACGACGATATGAATAATGGCACGTTCTGAAAACTCTACGCATCAAGCCTTACGTGACTAAATAAATATTATTTTGCCCGCAATTAAGTCTGCATTTGTTCTTCGGTAAGAAGTTGGCAGAGGTGGATAATGAATACCGTTTTCGAAAATTCATTCCGTCACGGCGGCTTGCAAACGGTCACGTCGGCTTGTTCACCAAATTCGCTCGAGCAACCTGATAATCACTTTCCATTTGTTGGACGATCGCGCGCAAACCTGGTGGCGCCAGGTTGGGGGCGCGGAGAGCGCAAATTGGAGAATCAGCGCCGACGAGAGGACTTTTGTTTTGATTGCCGTGCGCGCGCGCCAAATTATGCGCCGAAAAATTACGACGAGAGAGAGAGAGAGAGAGAGAGAGAGAGCAGATAGGAGAGAGAGAGAGAGCAGAGAGGAGAGAGAGAGACAGAGAGAGACAGAGAGAGAGAGGAGAGAGAGGAGAGAGAGAGAGACAGGAGAGAGAGAGAGAGGACAGAGAGGAGAGAGAGAGAGAGAGGAGAGAGATGAGAGGAGAGAGAGAGAGAGAGAGACAGAGAGGAGAGGAGTAGAGAGAGAGAGAGTAGAGGAGAGAGAGAGAGAGGAGAGAGCGAGGGAGAGAGAGAGAGAGAGAGAGAGGAGAGAGAGAGAGAGAGAGCGTAAACTAAAGGCAAGGCTTTGACGACGAAAAGGCGACGAAGAGGGAAAAGCCCACGCGTCTTGAAATAAAGTTTGCTTCTGCCTCACGACAGAGAGAGAGAGAGAGAGAAAGCAAGACGGAGGGAAGTTAAATGCCTGCAAGGGCCTTTCGGCACGAGTCCTCTCATCTGAGCTTTCAAGCGCGACTTGTACAGAAGGGGAGCGGAGCTTCCCTAACGACTACTACAGGTTCGATTAATTTTACGGGATGATCACTTCTGCAGTCGGGGAGAGCGAGCGAGCGAGAGAGAGAGAGAGAGAGACGAGTTTCTCTCTTGTCTTTATTGATTCATCGCGGATTTAAAAGTTTTCAGTAAACGTCCGCCTTAACAATCAATTTAAAGCGCGTTTTACAAAACATTCCGATTAAAAAGCGAGACACAGCTCTGTAAGCGCCTATACGATATTCACCGCTAGGGAAATTTATTTAATCGGCGAGCTTCTTCTCTAACAGTGTATAGTCGTGAATATGGATGAGCTAAGAAGTAATTTGGAAACATATAATGCTGCGCGCGCGCCCGAATGCAAATAAATTCAAATTTTCTCACGGTCTTCTTCTTTGGAATACTAAGCATCGTAGTAGAAAACTTGGTCTGACTATTTGAGTGTTCCGAAACGTAAATCAAAACATAAAGCGGGCTTCATCCAATCGCCAATTACAAATATACGCGCGCGTAAACTTTTACCTCCCTCATCCCAGAATCAATATCCATTACCACCCCGAGGGGCAGTTAGAATAATATACGCGAAGCTTCCGGCATAATAGCAAAGGCCCCCTAATCGTCGAACGATCGTCCCTGGAAAGTCTGCGGCCTATCAAGGAAATATGTAAACGCGATTGCGGGCGTAACCGTTCGTTATAGCCGACGACCGTCGTCCGTACTCGGCGAAACCCTTCCTCGCGCAAGAAGCCAGCGAGAATCAATCGGCGGCCTCGTTGTCCGCAGATCGGCTTCGGTCTGGCGCTCTGGCTCGCGTCCAATCTCCTCAGCGACATCAAGCGCGCTGACGTTTCTCCTTTAATTTCGCGCTCGGCGCCGCGACGAGAGCGGCTCGCGCAACGTGGCCGCTCTGTGTTTGCTCTGCTTTATTAGAAACGGCCGAGGGCCGTCGTCCGAGCTTTTCGCCGCATTTCTTCGTTATTCTTTTCGTGTGTTTCGTCTGGGGAGCAACGATTCTTCTTGCGCTCCATCTGTAACTTCGCCTATACGTTGTGCCTATCGTTCGTCATCCATTCAAAGATTTATGACACTTCGTATCCGATCGACGCGCATTTTATTTATGGAGATTCAAGAGACATAAACGGACATCATTGCCCAGATCGACGACCCCTTACCTCCGCTCTCCGTATAAACTCTCGCAGCAACTAGTTGGCAGAGTTTTCCGCGCATTTCTGAGAGGCGGCTACAGAGCAACTTGTCGCACGAGCGAGCGCGCCGCAAAGTCCAAATTTACGAGGTGCGATATGTGCGCGTCGCGGCTCTATAGCGTAATTCGCGAAAATAATCGACTCTGGCAATAGACAAGACTCGGGTAACATTAAACTAACTTGTTTATTGCGAGAGACTCGTCGCCGGCGGCGTGTTATAAAACCGGACCCTCCGAAATTTAGCGCTCGTCAAGCGGCGAGCCATTAAATTGCGCCGGGCGCGCCGTGGCGAGTTTGTTTGCGTTACGGTATTTCCATATCAAACGAACTAAAAAATTCGCTCCAGAAAAAAAAAAAAAAAATAATGCAACATGAAATGGAAAATTATAAATGGAATTGTATACTTGCAATCGCAGTGCTGTGCATTAAAAGCCATGTGAATGCTTCATAAAATATTACTTGAAATTTTGACTTATTTTTATTGAATTTAAAATTACTTACAACGTAAACATATTCGTAAAACAATCTGATTGACTTTGAAACAAGCAAAGAGGCCCGAGCATTAGAAAAAAATGGTCACGTTGTTTTAAAAGTGATATCAGTATGCACAGCAATAAAATGCGTGCTTGTAACGTACAACTCGGGCAAACGAGATAGATTACGGAGGCTGCAAGAGGTAATCGAAATTAGATAATTGGAATAGCCCTTGAACTTGACGTAGAAGTCATCGACTGCAGTCTAGCTCGCGGCGAGAATCGTAGCGTGTCCACCCCCTAATTTTCACGGTGCGTTGGTCGTATAACCCCACAACGCGTTTCGCAATTCATCTCCTCGGCGAGCGGAGAAACGCGCGCGCTCGTAATTTTATGGTCAGCCGTAATCGTTTCGCGCGAATTATTAGGGGAGATGCCGCGGGAGAGTTTGCAAAATTATCTCCCGCACCTCTTTATGGCAGTTCGGCTTTATTAGCTGTCGTTAAGCTACGACGTTGCCGGCAATGTCACGGCTCGTGGAGCAAGTTTCCTGGTGTAAAGAAGAAAACGAAGGACCAGAGCTTGACGAAGGGTGAGACGACGACGTTGCGCTAATTGGACGCATTAGGCACGCGCCTCGAAAGCCAAGTTAGGATTTTTTTTAGAGCTCGTTCGGGAGCTTCAATTCATTTAAAAAGTTTTAAAACGCTGCCGATGATTTCGCTCTTTATTTATAAAAGTTTTCATACTCAACAATATCTCTCCTCGTTCTCGCTATCAAGCTGTTTTAGGCATAATTCTGTCCAGCGGACCTCAATGTGTAGACAGGTCAAAATTTACTTCCTTATCAAATGATTTTCAACTCTTGAACTCAGAGACCGCTTTTCTGAAACAACATACAATCGATTAATCTTAATAAACGTTTTTTAATAATTGTAAAAAGATTATTTAAAAACTTAACAATGGATATAAATTGAAAATTACAAAATTTCGATGCAGTGAAAGCTGTTTGTCTCTTTGGATACTATACAAATTGAAAGTTTACGGTATCTTCGTTTAATTTTTTAGTATTTTCAGCGCGAATGATCGTGAAGTTTTTACACTGTATGCATATGTAATTTTCTTGATCGAAGCTTGCCGACGATATGATGGTATGCACTATTTTTAATAATTCTGAATTCATTAGAGCGCAACAATTTATTTATTTTTCAATTGATACTTGCGGTATAAATAAAAATATAAGTTTTCATACGAAACAACTAATGTCCATGGGTAGTATAACGCATTTATGCACGAATACAGCTGCGTATAGACGTTCGGGTACGTCACAATGCATGTTTTTCAAAACAAAATAAACTACTGAGTCTTGACCCATCAGTTGAGTCCTATGTTTATTATGTTACTCTGTCATTAAATGTCCTACTTCTATTCAATTCGGTACGGTGTTAGGTCTTGCCTGGTTTATTGAGTTGTGCACAATTCTGTTGCTTGGTTGCTATCGGTTTCTAGTAGGTTGAACAATAAAGACTAGATAAGACATGACCGTCCCGAATAGAGAAATAGGACGTTTGATAACAGAATGATATAATAAATAAAAGTCTCGAGTGATGAGTCCAGACTTAGCAAACTAAAGAAGCAGGATATTTTCATTTGACTATAATCCCAACGACATGAAAATTTTATACCAACCTCATTCTAGAATAATAAATTGATCCGCCTAGTTTCGTGGGTACTTTCGTAACATTACTGAAAAGTCTTTTCGAGTCGAAACGTTTGTCTAAAATGATTCAAACGCTTTCAAATGATGGTATGGACTTTAACCTTGGTAAATGTATGAAACAGCTGTTCTCTTCAAACTAATCCAAACACATTTGTTCAGTATAATAATAGTGCTATTTCTGACGGGTGCGCAAAGGTTTTTTTGACGAAACGAAAAATTTACGACACGTAACAGCGACGAGTGGCGAGTTCTGTAACGAGTTTCGTCAAACAGCTCTATCACATCAGTTGTAGACAGTATTTTTCCGCATGAGAGCCGGACACTAAATGCTGAAGGTGTGATTTGGAGGTTAGAATGCGGAAAAGTAATAACAAAAACATAAATATTATTATAATAGAAATTTAGGTATTAGGTAATTTTTTTTTTGAAAAATCATTATCGCTTGGTAAATAGTCGACTTTCTCTTTAAAAGATTTATATGAACAAACTAAAGGCGTTTCCCGAATTTTAGTAATTAGTCAACGGGATCCAGCCAAGAAAGTCACTGTGCACGCGTAATTTTTCCTATTTTTACTAATGTTTGCAATGCTTCCGATTCAAAAGAAATCCAGTTGTTGGTTTACTACTTGTAACGATCTCTAGCGAAGACTGATCGTTAAAACGATCGCAGCGCATGGAGTCAAAGGCGGCAAATCGTTTATTTGTGCCGTGTTCCACAAGATTCCGACAGTGTGTTCCGCGATTGGACTTTCTATGAGCAACAGGACTATGTCTTTAAGTGGAAAATATCCGAAATTATAATTTTCGTGTTATTAAGTGTTAAAATAAATTTTCAAATGTGTCACACTCGCAGAAAATTATTGTGAAAAAGAAAGAGTAAGCAAACATAACCTTATTGTTGATGGTTTAGTTTTCGACATTTTTAACATTGAATTAACGTTATAAAAAGATTTACTGTTACATTAACTTTACAGAAAATTATAAAATTTCGTACATATTATATTTTTCTAGCCTTGGTGGTGCACAATGATCTTCAAAATAACTGCATGACGTAACACTCATTTAAAGGCAAGCAAACGTTAAACGAATTCAGTGGTTCAAGTTGTGTACCGATTTTGTTTTCTTGTAACTGTTTTAATCAGGTAAACATACGAAGAGTAGAAATCAGATGTAGAATTGAGTAGTGTTCGTCTTTTTATTATCATAGTATTAATGTACGCATCGATTCGTTATAGGTACATATAATCGATTTACGAATCTAGGAAAATTTTTTAACCATTGTAACATTAAAATGAACTGTAATACGGAAAATCAAGATGAAGGCGACGTTAGCGATTCGGTCAGTGCTGTGAATGTTGGAAAAATTTTGAAAGCTGATCAAGAGTCTCAAACATACTTTTTAAGTTCTTGCGCTGAACAAACAACTTTTATTTGTAATAGATATATTTACGTGACTTCTAACTTCGCTGATTCTGAAGTTCAAGCTGAAATATCCGAAATCGATGTTCAAAATATTAGGAATAAGAAACAAACTAAAGATGTAGAGATACAATGTTATTCGTCATTGGCACACTTTATAGATACACTAATTGATTCTAATGAGATTACAAGTGAGACGAAGCAGAAACTGTCAGGTTTTCTTCGCTTTCGTTCTATTGCAACTGATGCAAAATTAGAAATTATGGTTGGAGTCAATTGGGCTATTTTTGATTTCTTACTAGCGAAAATTGTAAATTCACCGAATGAATTTAAACTAAGAAAAGAATATATACTTATGATTTTTTTAATGAAAATAAAAAGTGGGTGGACTTTTGCAAACCTAGGAAAATTCTTAAAGTTAAATGAGACAATTACTTTCAATATATTTTTGTCAACTTTGGAATGTTTGAGCACGTTATCTAGATATTTAGTAAAGCGTCTAAATACATCTGTTCTACAAGCTAAATTGACCAAAAGTTTAAATCTAAGCTCTCGTGTTATCGTAGACTGCGTTCTATTCGAAATTTCTATTACATCTTATTTGGACAAACAGATTCTCTGTTACTCTAATGAAAAACAATATTACAGTATAAAAGTATTAATTGGAGTCTCGCCATCAGGATTTATCTGTTTTAAATCGAAAGCAGCCGGTGCTACAGTGACTGATTATCAAATAATTGTTGATTCACAATTGTTTGATTTTTTAGAAGATGATGATGTAATTTTAGCGGATACGTGTTTTCCCGAAATCAAATCTGACATTTATGCAAGTGGTAAACGTATCTCACTTCTTACGCGTACATTGCCGAAAGAAAATTCAGAATTTTCGAAACAAAAGGCAGATATAATTAACATTTTTACAACAACCGTAGAGCGTCTTAAATCGTATCAAATTTTATCTAGAATTCCAGAAGATATGCTCTCTCATATCGATAAAGTTATTGATGTAGCTTGTGTCTTAATAAATTTACAAAGATGTACTGTCTTATATCGATAAAATTATTCATGTATTATAGCTTGTGTCTTAATTTACGGGGACCAATGTTTTCTAATTCAAAGGTGTAAGAAATGTAATTAAAAACAGCTTTATCACACATTAGAGTTCTTTATTATTGTTTATTTATCGATATTGAGTAATCACATATTAATAACTGTGAAATCTCACATTTTATGAGATACCGATTGCATACTCTAAATTACGAACATAAATATATCTATCGCACTTTAATTATTTCAATATCATACTTTTGTCAAATTACACTCTTTGAAAATGTATATCCAGTTTTATCTAATGTACCTACCGTATCGTAAAGATACATAGTACATTTTCTACCAACAGACTGATTATAACTGTATTTTTTGTAATTCTAAATTGTACAAGAATATATTTTTATGAATTTTTTAATCATTCATTTTTTAAGTAACTTGTGTAATATAATTTCAAATCAGTATAATAGTATTCTGGTGAATTTCGAATCAAATGTATTCGGAATGTTTTCCGGACAGCTGAGTGCCGCATTTCGACGAAGAAAATCGAAATGATCAGCATAAAAAATTGCCCACAAAAAAGCCCATGTACAGCGCTGCGCCAAAGACGAATGGAAGCCTTTATAGGGCGAGACAGCCAGATCGAGTTATCGTAATGAACTTACTAGCCTCTCGAAGCTTTATGGCTAAATAGATGGGTGAGTGTGCGACGACGACCCCACCGCCATCCCTCGGACTGCGAAAATCTTTTTTACGCGATTTCGCAAGCACAAAAAAAAGGGACAATTGCCGCGCTGCTGCTGAGCATTGATTCCGAAATGGCTTTGTAATTCCATTGGCGAATCCGATTTAGTCGGTTCCCTTTGATCTGAACTAATTTTCAAACTGGACATATCCACTTTCACGCTATTTTGAAGATGTAAAGATTTGAGATGGGATTTTCGGGTGCATTATGCTGCATGGACGCACGTTCAGTGAAAAGGCTTTAGAAACGGAATAGCGTAACATTTCCCATTAAATATTCTTTATTTATGTACTCTACACTAATATTTCGAAGTCATATTATTAAAACATATCTGTAATGTAAAATAAACAAAGCTACACGGTTTTCGTTCGAATATTTTCTTTCGTGAAACGTACGGTAAATCAGCGATACTTGAAAACTAAAATGTCACCGTCGATCCTCGCTCGCTGGCAATAAACCATATTTCAATCTCGCATCGCAAAATGCCAGCAGTCGTAAAAAAAAGTCGCAGTCCTATAAAAATCAACTTCATTGCTCCATGACGCATACAGATTACGCCGTCTATGCGGCAGTGTTTCAAAAATTCACGAAAAAAAAGAGATGAAAGAGAGAGTGAGAGAGAGAGAGAGAGAGAGAGAGAGAGAGAGAGACGTTTGTGATGGATGGAGCTCCTACTCGGCATCGGATTCACATTCACTGCAGCAGAGAGTGTAGCCGCGCGACAGGCGCGCCTCTTTTGCTGTACACCCGACGAAATGATTGGCGCCCGCGCGCTGTGTGCCGATGGTTTTCAACGTTATGAATGCCATTGGAGGTACGGATTCAAATGCGGCTCGAGATGTACGTTTCTTTCTATTTTTTTCTTTCTTTTTTTTTCGCGCTGCTCTGAAGCGACAGCGGCGACGTGGTATGAATACTTTTGAATCTCGTGAATCGATGACTTCGATACGGCAATTTTAATGAATCTACTTTTCTTCGCGTTGAAGTGATAATGCGAGCGCGAGGATCTTATCATTACTCGAAATAATCTTTACACATATAGGCTTTCGAGCTAATGAAGTATTTGCGTCATGACGCGCATTCGTTTTAGCATTGGAAGACAGTACCTAGAAGCTGACTGGTCAATTATATACGAGTACAAATGTCTTGCGACATAGTCAAACGGTTTCATATTTATACTTGTTGAATAAATTCTCGAAATAACGAGTAACACTATAATATCCTTTTTTAAATTTCATTTTTATGAAGTATCACGAGATACGACAAAAAATATTAACATTAACGTTATATTTATCCAATCACGCATAATTTATTACTGCGCAATTTAAAGGCAAAAATGTCAAGAGCTTAAAAGTTAGAAAACAAAGTTGTCCTCAAAATGTGAAAATGTCCTGAAGCCGCCGATGTGTAATGTATTTCGAAAGAAAAAAAATGAAAATTTGGAAAGGAAGACGCGGCGATTTGGAGTTACTAAACCATTGACCATGAAGATAATTCGATCGCGTTACGCGCTCCACGGGCTTTTCGGCGTGGAGGGTAGCGTATAGCAAGCCAAAGCAAACAGAGAGTATATGTGTATAATCCGGAAAAAGGGCGGCTGTAACGGCTGCGGACGCAAGCGAAGCCTTGCGCGAGAGATTAGAAAGTGTACGGCGGAGGCAGCCACGGTCGCGCAAGCAACAATGCGGTGTACGGGCCGCCCTCTCGGCAGAAAGTTCGCGGAGCGAGGTGCGAAGCATCCTCCACCTTGACTTGTAAATTCGCGCGCGCCCTTTAGCCGCGGCCCGAAAGCCCTTTGAGGGGGATACTTGATGTATCGGAAATAAGACCGAAGTTATGGAGCTTTCGGGACGTTGTCGTCTCGACTCTCCTCGCTGCTGCGGCTTGGATGAGATCAACTCCCGGCTGTGCATCTTCCGAGCGCGAGGATCTTGTCTTATGAAATTCAATTGGGCACAGCACAGGGCTTTAGCGAGCTCTATCTTCGACGCCTGAAAACGCCCAGACGTTAACTTTCATTTCGTTAGATAAAGCACTTTCGCTGGGAGATCATGATCCAATGTGACGTAATTTTACGGTCAGAGAAACTTGACGTGCCTTCGAAGTCTTGTCAATTTTCGTTATTTAATGGTACAAGGCGGCTTCAAAATCAAATTCGTTTGCTGCAAGTCTCAACATGATTTTCTTGAACAACTAACCATATTTCATGGTATTATTTATTATTGCTTTTTTATGTTTCTGCGAAAATTCTTCAAAATTTGAGTACTTGAACGAAAATCTTGTTTTGACAGTCATTCCTTTGGTATAACAAATGTATATACCATTAGCGGTAATCAAGTTCACTGATAATTTACTATGACGATAATTAGATATTATATATGTATATTTATTTAGTCTAAATAGTTTAGAAAATTTTTACAGAAGTACATTTTCCCGAATTATGAGACAATTATTTTCCCACGTTTTTCTTTGAAACACAATAATATCTAAAACAATACTAAACCTTGTTAGCTTACCAGAAATAAGTTCTCTGAATTGCCTTGCACTAGGCTGCGGTTCAGTGAAGCAGCTTGTATTTTAATTGCTGTACTAAAATTCCAGCCACAAATTTTACTCAGTAATCCTATATAAGTGCTTCCGAAAACAATATACAGGTTCGTTCATTCGTGCAATGACATAGTTACTTAACTTCAAAGCAAATGTTTGGTTTTAACTTTCACTATTTTTTTTCCAGTTTCAGTAAATAAAAAAAAAATCTTATTTGTGAATAAAAAGTAAGTTTTTATAAACGACTGTGTTCAAAATAATTATTTTCTAGGTTCAGTTTCATTGTAAATTAAATTTTTACGAGCAATGTCTCAATGAAATTGGAATTTCCAAAAGTCAGTTTTCCAAATAATTCTTCGATATAATAAAAATATTCCTATAATCATACTGTTGCATCCGAAACGCAACAAAAATAACATTGTATGCTGACGATCCCAAATTGAAATGCATTGTGGTTTGCATGCTTAAGAAAAATTGCATGGTATGTAACATTTGCACAATTCAAAAAACGAGTTACGATTGAATATTTTTTCAATATAATGCAGATTAAAAATGGGAAAATGGATGAAGGGATTACTGTCGATATATTGAAAAGATCCATCCATGGAAGCTTATCAAATTTATGAAATTGAAGACAAATATATGCGTTGTTGAGGATATGCCTAATTAAATGAAATACTAATAATATCTCAAAAACAAAATTAATGGGGCTAATTGATTATAAATGATTTCTGCAATTTCAGCAAATGAAGCAACAAACGAATGCATAACTAGCAATATCACGAGGAAATGTTTAACCGAAGAATTCTAGCATTCGGTAATATCAGAGTAATAATTTATTTGCAAATTACGAATGGCATGTTAAGTAAAACTATTACAACCGAAACGATTCTAATTAAGCATATTTATTTCGACTGATAAATAGATTAGTTTTGACAAATGAAAATACGTACATGCAAAAATCCGATATACTATCATTTTCTCGAACGCTTATCAATATCGAAACACGAAAAATTGATTGGATATTATAAAAACCGAATACTCGTATTGAATGCCGATTTTGCGAAATTTTATCCTTGGTCGTTATGAATTAGCAGATTTTCTTAGCCACGGTCAGTCGAAACAATTATTACGGATTTGCCTCGCTATATTTATTCAATCTTTGTCTTAATGTAACGGCATCAATTGGATTAGCAGCGGTACTTATACATATTGGTGAAGTGCGCAGTAACGTTATAGAATCCCATATATAAGACAAGCTCAGTTATCACAGACTTTAGTCTTTGGAAACTACTTCATAGATTAAGACGTGTAAGTGTCTTCTTAAATTTCTGTGACACAATGAAGACTTCGTTTGCAGTGTTAATCACGATAGTTGCACTAGTAAGTCTTTAATAAAATTTATCTATAAAAATGTATTACATTCAAAATAACAACAGTCATTAAAGTGTTACGTACATATACGCACAACGGCTTATATAAATTTACCAAAATCGGTGAAAAATGTGGCATATTGTATATAATTAATTTTACTATTATTAAAAAATATATATCAGCTTCTACTGGTTCAATTGTTTCTAATTTGGGGATTTCATCGATAATAATATTTCACCAAAGTCAAATTCAACAGACTTACTTGATCACGACTTTTTCAAATCTTGTAAAAGTTCAATAAATCTCTTTGAAGAAAACCCAAACATTATGAGATCATTGATCATTGATCTTGCAATGTTTGGGTTATTGATTTATCATTGAGCATTGATCTCGTAATATTTTTATACATCGATAACAATATTTTTTTCAAGACTACTAAAAGCAGTCAATTAGACGATGCCGCTCTGCAGAAAAGAATTTTTGAGTGCGCTGCCGAATCAAAACTTCCCGAAGGTCAGTTTATGCTCTCAAATTGTTCTTATGCAAATTCATATTTAGTAATCATTTCCGTATGCTTAATAACAGGTTTACAAAAATTACAAAAGAAACAGTTGACCAAGGAAATAGACAATCCTAAACTGAAGTGTTTTAATGCTTGCATGATGAAGAAGAAAGGAACTGTAGGTAAACCTTTGGCAACTGCTGCTATTTGAAATACTTAATTTGGTATGGGGCTTTTGTTTAGATGATAAATGGAAAAGTTGATCCAGAGATGCAATTGGTAGCAGTCCAACCAGATTCTTACGATGTGATCAAAGAAGTTGTCAATACGTGCTCAGACTTGGGTATTGAAAATTATTTTATTCAAAAATTTATGCCCCACAGCTTGTTTCAATAAATTATGGTAATACTTGCAGCTAATCAACAGATCGATGAGTGTGAGGTGTCTTATAGTTATGTAAAATGTTTGATACAAAACGCAGGTGCTTATTAAGAATGACACGATCCTGACAGAAATATCATCGATCCGAGTAATGTTTTAGTTATTGATGCAAGACATGCTAATATGAAATTTTAGTTGCGTTAGTAAAGCGTTGCACAAGAAGTTTAGGGCGCTGATTAAAAAATTGACAATCGATCGACAAAAAAATACGAGTTCTTACAAGCGTCATATCACGAAAGATTAAACTGAGAAATAGTACAGATGGATGTAATCAGAGCATAGATAAGTTGCTAGATGAATTTACGTCATTAATCGAGAAAAATTATACTGGGAATTGGTATTTGCGAACTATTCCACCACGCTATAAGTGAAAAGCCTAATAAGTTTGAACGATAATGTCGGGCGTTATCTAAAAAAGAATAATTCAAGATGATTCCATGCGCATTGCTGCACAATTCATTTGACATCAATAATCGCTATAATAAGCAGCTCAGAATCTTTAGTGTACTTTCAGTGATCTTGCATTTTCGTAGTTTGTAAAATGATGCCTTAAAAATTCCGTCATGCTTATTGAACGTCTATACGTGCATTTTGATCTATTTATTATGATAACGGAGTTTCCTGTTTGACAGCTTCACGTGATGGAAATATCAAGATGTTGCTCATCGCTTATCTGTGTACCACTTCCGCTGTGTTCTCGCGTAATAACTTGATAAATATATACATGGTCGAGGAAAAATAGGTGTCGTAACTTTAAAAATCAGCAATTAATGACGCAGTATTGTTAATTATCTATGAGAGCTGTTACTTTCTTCAATAATATTTATCGTAAAAATATCTTATCGATAAATCAGAGTATTTTAAATCATTTAACTGAATTTTATTTTTTATGTCATAAATCCTTGCATAAATTCATTAAACAGATAACAATATCTATTTGTACCTGTAAATAATATATGTTTATTATTGAAAAAAATTATCAGTTTCTTTGATACTGGTTAAGCGAAACTTTCAATAATTTAATGATGCTCAAAGTAAAAAAAGCATATATTTCAATTTTTTTGGAAAATAATATTACATTTTTAGTTTTATTTTACAGTATTTTTATTATTTCAAAATAATTAGCATCATTTGAAACTATAAACCGAATCAACGCATGTTGATGAGATCGGAAAAATAGGGATGGGAGAGGGGGCAAACGAACACTCGACCGGCTGTTAGTTAATTCAAGTTTTCTCGCTTTTGCCAGCAGCTAGACTTGTATAAAATTGTCTGGAGTGGTCCGATTTTTACGATTCAAAAAAGTAAATGATTATTTTTTAACCTAGAAACGTTTGTATATTAGCAATTTCGTAAAAAATGCAACTTAAAATAAATTACTTTTTGCGAACTGCCTGACTGACCTTTTTCAAAAGCAAGCAATAAAAGTTTGGCTACGGATTGGACCCCCCCCCCCTGCAGATAGCTGCTTCACTTTCCGAACGGCTAATCCCTTGCATGCTTCGTCAGCCTTTTTGCATTATCAACGTTTAAGATGGTTTAACTGAATTACTGTCAAGTGAACTTAAATTTACTTTACTTTTTTTATTAAAATTAACTAAAATTAAAATTAACTTAATCAGTGGAATGCCTACTTTCAGCTAATACCAATTTAAGATTATAAAATGAATACTGAATTTACATTAATCGATGGAAATCACGGGAAGATGGTAGGCTGACTTCCACTACGAAAAATTATAAATAAAAGATTTTTTGATCAAATAATATATACAATTATACTTACAAATCAACAATACTATTTTAGCTATTACTCAATAACTTAATAATAATTAAAATTAATAATTTTACTGTAACTTTCATACATATATTTAGTTTATAATAACTTCAAAAATGTAACCCAGTACATGTTTAATTAAACAAAAAAATTTATTATTGTAAAAAAACAGGACTATTTTTCATAGCCTACATAGAAAGAAACCAAGGATAGTTCATAATGATTTTTAAAAAAGTTATTATGTACAAACACCATTATTTCTGCGAATATTATTGTTTAACTTCCCGTAACTCTCATAAAATTCTTTTAGCTATTTGTTTAACGATCGCCATAAAGGCTCCTTTTTAAAAACTAGCACATATAAATAAAAACTTGATCCGAATTTGGTAAATGCAGTTCTGTGTTGCATGCGATTCGGTACAGTAAATTATAGTTTTTCTTTTTAATATAAATTGTTATATTTTATAATTATTCAGAATCTATATTTGAACAAAAAAATTATGAAAATTGAATCAATTATTTTACTATTCCTTTTACTTGTTGTAAGTAACTATTGAATTTAGAAAATCTGAATGTTTACTAAATTAATTTGATGATCTACGTTGAAGATGAGTACATTTGGTTTCACTAAACAAGAAGCTCTTAGACACTGGAACGAATGTTTAAGTGAACAGACAATTAGTAAAGGTTGGTGTATTCCGTTTTTTTATCAACTTTCATACAAATTATAAAATTGCTGAGGTTGAATTGATAGTAGCTTCGAAGTAATCTTTTATACATTCTAATGTGTGCAAATAAATAAGTGAAAAAATGCTTCACGGAGACATGTAACTTACAGATTACAGTGAAAACTTTAAATATATTAAATTTTGAAAGTCAAGTTATTTATATCTAAATAGTATTTAACAAAGTAGTTCATACGGAAGTCAATACTAGCTACAATTTAATTCAACTTCAGCATTCATTTAATACGTTAAGAATAGCACATTCAAATGTAATTTGAAATTTGTCAACTAATCTACTTTAAAAATCTGATATCACTATCTAGCTGACTTGGAATATTTTAAAAAGCGAAAATCTTATGAGTTTGACTGTTTCAATGCATGTGTCATGAGAAAACGAGGAAGTGTGAGTACAAGGTGTTGACATTAACTATTAGAATACAATTTTATACAGTTTATAAAAATCTTATTTTTAGATAAACAATGGAAAAATAGATGTTGTAAAATTATTATCTACTTTAAGAGGAATGGGTTTGATTAACAATTCTCGGACCCAAGAACAACTTCAAAGGTGCGCCTCTGTAGGTAAAGGAAAAAATTTTCATAAAATAATGCGATCTTTAATTGTCAATGTATCTTATTGATAAAATTGAAATGTTACAGCAAATAAAGAACGAAACGAATGCTTCGTCGCGAAAAACATGTTAGATTGTTTTTTCATCAAGTAATACTAATAATTATATTTTTACAAAAATCAGTAATTATGGTGAATACATTGTTTGTAATTGTAAATGCAGTTTGTAATACCGTATGTATCGAATTTTTATAAAAAATCATGCGCTTACAGTGGGTATTTGAAATAAACTTTTATTAACTAAAGTAAACATAATTATTTTACTATGTACTTTTTAGCGATTGCACGGACTATTGCAAAAAATATGTTTTTATTTGATTTTTATTTGACAATTGTAATAATGGTTTATATCTATCTGACGTCTTTTAATTTGAAGCTCATTTATATTCTTATCTTACCTAAAATGTTATACTACATGTAATGTTCAGCTGTTTTTAGCTGCAACTCTAAGTTCGAACAACAATTATAATGTACAAATATTGTAATCCTATTGACGCGATGCTTTAGATTTACATAAGTTAATCTTTGTAAGTAGAATAGCAAGTATTGAATTACAAATTACCTTCTAATTTACATATAATTTTTTAATCGTTAATATTGGTTTTCTGGAAAATATATCTATATATGTAAAATTTAACGTTTTTCCTAAAATATGGCATCAAATTACCGTAGAAGAAAAAAAAACTTTTATTTTAATTAATTACTCGACTACCATCTTCAAACTCTACAAGTGTGTCCCAAAAACGTTACGAATATTCGTATAAAACGCAATATTTTGTCAAATAATTCGTTCGACGAGAAAATTGTCGGTGAGCTTTGTTATGCGTCATATTTTACGTGACTTATATAATTACAGAGATTCTAATCAATTAACACAATGGACAAAAAATTTTTATCAGCATATTTTCTTTACTGAATAACTACATACGAGAGTTTGATGTAATTATCTTTCGCTCGTATAAAACTTCTGTTCGTACATTCACAGAATTTAGTTGAATATCGAATTCCTTGTTTTTCACAAGTTTTGTACCAAAATCTCCATCATGAAGCTCATTATTTTGACATTTTGTATGCTGTTAGTCGCAGTAAGTTTTTTTTATAAATATCTATATTTTATCTAAAATTAACAATATAAATTTAATTATAATAATTGTGAAAGTATTCGGTATAAAATAAGCCCTGAGAAATTTTTAGTATCAATAGAGAAAACCTACGAAAAAAATGTTTTAATTTAGTATCGTTTTTTTCAAAAATTCAATAATGTTTATATCAAATTTTCATAGCGTACACTATTAAATTCATGATTTTATTATTCTGTCAGAAAATTTTCAATGCCTATTTTTGATTATGTGATCCTTAAAGGAACGAAGATTTTCATGTTTTCTTGAAATTTTACAACAAAACAAATATTCAAATTTTACGAACCAAAACACGTCGTAAGCTATATTTTGATAGTTTTTATTAAAAATGAGACTTGTAGATCTTTGAAAATATATTTAACGTGTTAGTTTTTATTTTATTAGCTTTGAGTTATTATGTATTAATGCAATTTTTAAAGCTAAACTCAACAGTGTACGCGCAACATAAAAATTCGATAAAACGAAATCAAATTATAGTACTTTTTCAAGGAATTTATGCACGCGTCTTCATTTTTGTTAGGTTCAAAATGTGTGCGGAGATGAAGAATCCATGAAAAGTTTTAAGGAGTGTTTGGACGAAAATGACATTAAAGGTTTTACTCGTATTAATAAATTTTTTTATGAATATTGACTATTAAAATTATTACAAAATATCCTATATTTGTAATAGGCGATATTGAAAAATTGAAGGAGAATGATGATCCGAAACTTCGTTGCATTATGGCGTGTGTAATGGAAAAAGAGGGAATAGTAAGTAGAATTTGTAGGATTTGTGGGTGAGTATGTGTGTATTAAAAAATATGATTACTTTGAAACGTTGTCTTTTTTAGTTGAAAAACGGAAATGTTCAGCTGGATAAATTGAAACAGGACCTTTTAAAAGATGCTGAGAGGCTGGGCGAAAAGAAAATATCCGAAATAGTGAACACCTGTGGAGATTTAGGTGAATCATCTTTTTCTTATTATTTTTTAAGTGGTAATGCTCCGCATTAAGCTTCTTTCTGCGCTCACTAATTCGTTATATTTTCAGCAAAAGAATTAACGGACGTATGTGACCAAGCAAATGTTGTAGGCATGTGTATAAAAGAGGAATTCGCTAAGTATGATATTAATTTCGAGAAATAAAAGCTTCTTGTATAAAAATTAATAATATTTGTTACAATTAATCATATAAACGCGTAAATATATACATATAAAATTTGTCTGATTCTTTGTATTTTACAATATTTAAAACAACAAAATTATATAATGTGAAATAACCAATGTTTCCTTTGCTATATTGCTAAAATGCTACTAGAAAATATTTTACGTAGGAATAAGCTTAAAATAATTTGTTTACGTGATCTTTTTATCTCATGAATTTCATATTTTCAATCATAAAAGCTCGGGTAGGTACAACAATTTTTACATTAACCACTCTTGGACGTATTGATTTTGCGATCTCCCTTATTAGAGTTTGAAACTGCAGGACTCCAATTACACCCTTCGTCTTTAAACAAGAATATTGAATTTCTAACCCCAGGAGTAAGCCGTAGGCTAATAATGATTCTATGATTCATCCAGCTTCATCTTGTTCTTTCCATATTATCTCAGTTACACTTTGTGGACATAGCAGTATTCGTTAAGCGATCTCATATCACATCTCAGTAACTTCACTTTTTATTTGTTATTTTTCTTCAGGAATGTTACAAATTAAAAAAGTATATGAAATAAATATTCCACAATGCATCTCCAATAAAAGAATGTAGAGTATTTTTTGATAATCTATCGACAGGCAAGATAAAATTAAACTGATGAGAAAAATAAAAACAATCGTTATTGAAAAAAATGTTATTTTTGCTATGTCGTTTTGGTCAGCTGCTCTATTTAATTTGATACAAAAAATATACAATAACAAATATTAAACTGTACGTACTCGATGGTAGATTGTAGGAATGAAAAATTTGTTAGGCAGGATGAAAATTCACGACATTATACAAAATTATAGGACTGGAAAATGCAATTAGATTGTCTTATGAAAATGAGAAGCATCCGCAGATTAGACCACAGTTAGCATTGAATTTTACTGTTAAAAATTATGCTTAACTGCGTTAACACATATTTTACACGTTTTTGCATAACTAATATTTCGTAATATATAGTAGAAAATTAGTTCCTGTTTGCCAATTGAAACAGTACTTTGTTTAGACACAAAGAAAAAGAATGATTAAACAAAACAGTGCTATCGTTACACTAAAATATTTTTTTAGTTTCATAACAGGTGTACATTTTTTCTTTAAATTCTCAGGAGAGCTACAATTTTAGTTAGTCTGATAGATGCGTTTTCACGAGCAACCGTTATCAAGATATCAACATGAAAAGTTATTTATGTGTCGTTGGGATCTTTTGCGCATTGGTAAGTATATACTTCCAACGTGATAAGAATGCTAGTTTAAAATTGAAATATTAATATATTATGGTATCAACCGTGAAGGCGCTAGTAAAAGGTGAACCTCCTTCAGAACTGAAAAAGATATTTGAGGAATGCGCAAAAGAAATTGGAATGCCTGAATCTGAAGGTCAGATATATTAATTAATTAAAGATGATTTCACTCGTGAATCACTACGTATAAATAAAACTAATTTCTAATTATTTTTCGTAGAATCGGCTAAAGAATCCCCAAATTTCGATGATCCTAAAGTAAAATGCTTGAATGCTTGTACTATGAAAAAGAAAGGAGGTGTGAGTAGACAGTGGCTTTTACCAAGAAAATCGCAAGGGCTGTTCGGATTAATAACGTGATTATTGATTTTCAGTTGGTAGATGGTAAAATTGTAACCGAAAAAACAATAGAATTTATTTCGAAGTATTCGTTAGGAGAAGCCACTGATGCCTTAAAGAAAGACGTAAACGAATGCGCAAGTAAAGCTAATGAAGGTAAAGACGAATGTGAAGTAGGTGGAGAATTCTATAAATGCATGATGCAGACACACCCAATACATTTTTAATGATTATTCAAATTCAAAATGGATTTATTCATTCAATATATTGTACCTGCAAGAGATATTTTTATATACAGTATATGTTCAGTAGATTTGTAGAAAACACAAGAATAATAAATAAAGAAAAACTAGTAACTTATTAAAAGATTAAAATTTTGTTTTTCTTCGCAACTGATTGTTTTGATCCTCAACTTATCCTCAATGAATTTTTGGTTATATGAATAAATCGATGATAAACGAATCCTACAATTAGAAGTTTTTTCGAATGAATAGTCGACATAAAAATCAAAATATGTAAACATTCGATAGATAATAAGAAAAAATTATTTCCTTTTCACTATTGAAATAGTAAGAGCAATAATATGAATATTGATTTGTAGAATGACCATTATAAAATTGTTGTAGAAACACATGCATGAGAGAATCTGCAACTTTGTCAAAGCAAACATGCATAAATGTGTAAGCTGAACAAAGAACGTGATGTGAATGGACCTTATCTCAAATGTTTAATAGGAAAATTAATAGGAAAAAAGTATATTCCTCGGTAATATGATTGAAAAAATGTGCCAGTAACAAGTAAAAAAAGTCTTCTGAATAATATTTAGTAGAAGCTCTTTTTAAACCAAGAAGATTTCTTTTAAGCTGATTTTAAGCTGTACGAAGTATGATTTTTCTAGTTAATGTCTTTCTCCAATTACAATGTTCATATATAATTTTTAACTACACAAGTGCATTTCTTGATCAAAAATTTATGCTATATTCGATAATGCCAACCTTCGGAATGTGCTTTTACTATAGACACTGAAAACTCCAAAAATTGATTGCAAATGTATAAGAAAGTACAACGTTATTTGTTTTAATTATTTTTTATTTGAAATTTCACGATAAAAATGATTATACGTATAGTGTTTATTTTATTATAGTATATATTTATTTACGTAACCATATAAAATGATTATGAGATGAAAACATTGCGCGATAACAGTAATGTTCATTGAATAGGTTTTGTGAACCGTACAGGTATTACAATTTTAAAAGCATCCAAACGCCGTTGACGACACAAAAGGATGCACCCCCAGCGAGAATAAGCAACCACCTCGAGAGAGAAAAGAAGTAACAACGACGACGATACGGCCGGGGCAATTTATACGACCAATAAATTCCATTTCGCTTTCATTAGTGGCCTTGTCCGGATTTTCGGAGCACGAGGAAAGCGAAAAATACGGGGTGCACACGGGCAAGTCGGCGGCCGCGCTGTGTATGAGATTTACGAGCTCCTATATACGGGTATACGTGACGTACATCGATTTGCAATCGAAGGAAACTCGCGTGTGGCGCGTATCACAGTGTTATGACGAATCGAGCATCGTTATCGTCTTCACACTTGTCTTCGTTACCGCACTTCATGCTGGTTATTAAAGATTTTATTAGTTCATGCGATATTAGCAGTGCAGTAGCGACGCGGGTTAGTTGGAGAATCGACGGCTTCTTTATTACGTTTTTCTTGTGAAATGTAATATTAAAAGGTGTGAGTTATCGATTGATATTGCCTGTACACATTCGTGTTACTTCCAATTAAATACTAATCGCCGCAACGAACGCAGAATGTTATTTTTGCACCAAGCAAAGGTATTCTGAAAGGGATTAAAAAGCGATGAGTATAATTCATCGAATGCCTTAATGAAAGCACATTTCGGCATGTAACTTTCTGATCAGTTCAAATTCATCTTATCTTCACGGCTCAATGTTAATTGCATTCTAAAATAATCTAAGGACAATCTACACCCTGTTATTAAACCACATAAATCTCAGAATCATCTTAGGGTATTTTAATAAGTGTTAGGGCGATAAAAGATTTTTTTAGGCTAAACTAAGTTGCGTTCGCCTTTAGCGTCTTTCAGAAATAGAAAAAGAAGAAGAATAAATTCAATATTTGAAAAATAGCCGTCAGCGGTGGCGTGCGTATTTCGCTCGAGACTCTTTATGCAGCCACATAAAAGAGATGAATAGCGAGATTTTCGGTGTAGCTAGCGATGTAGAGCTTTCATTTGACGAAAAATTTCGTCATTTCTCAAAGCGCCAGGGGGAAGAAGAGAAAAATAAGAGATGAGCGCGCAAGTGTAGCTCCATACCTGCGCCAGAGAGAGAAAAAGAAAAACAAGAAAAAAAAAAAAAAAAAGAAAAAAACGTTTACACATTTCCGTTGACGGCGGCTCGAATCCGAATTTCCTTTCCTCTCCTGCATTTCCATATTCCGCGCGGCGTAAAGGGGGTAACGAATCGCCCGTGGAATTTGGTATTCGCGCTACGTCCGCGCATATTTAAATCCGTAAATTGGCTTCTCGCGCTCGCGACTCCGTGCTTCTTCCTCTCTGTCCACAGATTTATTAAATTTTCATCGTGCCTTCTCACGAGGAGGGCGTAACTTACGCGCGCCTGCATATCCCTGCCCCCCTTCTTGCTCCGGAGATAATGGAAAGGTAGACGAGGGGGAGAGAACGCAGGATATTCGACGCGACGATTCTTTTGTTTGCGGCATTATTGCCTAAGATATTGAGTTCTTTGAGGTGCGACTGTTTTTTTATCGGACGTATTTCGCGAAGATCGTTACCGATTGACGCTCTCGCATTACAAACATATCGTTATTTCAACTGTCGAGTGTCAATTCAATCTTATCGTTCGACAGCACTGCTGAAGATTTCTTTCCGATTGATCTTGATCTCTTTTCAATTTCATATTTCATATTTAATTTTAGTTGTCAGCTAGAATATCACTAATTACGCTATTTTTTAGTGCAACGAAAGGTTGGAATAATTTTTCCGGAAAAGTACCATTGTATTGGGATACTTAAATTTACAACAAACATTTTTTTTTTCAAGTCAAGTGAGTTTCGAAGTCTATCAAAAGTTATAAGCCCTCTCTTCCTAGTCCCACAGTCATCCGAATATCCTATTCCACATTTGAAATTTTCTAGTAAAATAAAACTAGAAAAAGTTTTTTAATAATTTTATTATGAATACTTAACTTGCAATTAGTAATCCAGATGTGGCTGAATAATCAGTCACCATCATATTAATGATAGTTTTATTATAAATCTAAAAAAATACAAATGCAATAACAATAAGAACTTTTACATTTATTTTTTAAAACATCTACTTAGATATTAGGTCCAAACGGAATTCACTTTAAAGAAAATTTGTTCAAAAACTTATGCAATTTTAGTGCAAGTTAAAAACAGCTCTGTCATAAGTCTTTGACTTTTTACAATTAGTAGTTTTTCCATCTTTTTTTGATCTTTTTGGAAGATTGATCTCCAAGACAATTCTAAAATAATAAAATTAATCATTAGATTATTAATATTTTTGCAACTTGAATGCATATTGTTAATTAATATTGAAAAATTCCAAAGTTTTTTCAACGCGAGATGAATATTTAAAACGAAAAATGTAGTAAGGTAAAAAGTTATAATAAATTATGGTAATACTTTTAGCTATACTGTAGCAATACTTGTAGCTAACAAAAACTTTTTCCAAGTAAAACTCTTGTAAGGAATAAGAATATTCTATTAAATAACTACGTTGCATGTGAATTTTTCATCATAAAGAGATGATCCTGATAAAATATCCGGTTGCATTAGTGTTAAATTAAATAAAAATATGTATAAAATATAGCAGATGTACAAATAAGCATACCTTCATTAACTAAAAAGGGGTAGTAAAATCAATAGATTTAATAAATTCATTTAATGATAAGTTTTCCTGGAAAAAGAAAAACGTAATATATATTATTTATATTTTATTATTAATACTCTTATTATTGCGATTTATTAATCAGCCGCACATCGACTATTTTGTATAAATCTTCTGCATTTAAAAGTGGGCCTTAATAGTAGGACACGTTATATTATTAAACTTTATTGAGCTGAATTTGAATTTCAAAATTTGAAAACATCTCGAATGTTAGAATCCATATTTATATTTCAATTCGGAAACCTTTTTTCTATTATTACTATTATTGTTTTAAGTTATTTAAAGTTTATATTTACATTTGGTATGACGACACTTTCTTTCATTAAACTTCGTTTAGTAGCTTTAATCTTAGTGATAAACTTTTTTAAGATGTTTTATTAGTTACCGAACGACTGAAAGTTAAAAATTTGAAAAAAAATTACCAGTACAAAGTTGTCAAATTTAAATAATTACAATACGTTACATGTGCCTAAAATATAAGTATTTACTAATGAATTTAAGTTTTATTTAGTTCCTATGTTTTATGATCAATCACAATATTGGCTTTTCATTAGTTTTAAGATATAAGATGTAATATTAAAAATAATGCTATATTACAATAATTTCTTTTCAATAAAAGATTCAAGTTTTTAATGTGTTATCAATATTACAAATTCTACTATTTTAAAATGTAGCAGCGATAACTATATTTCATTTAAAGAGTTTCAATAAAGACAAATATTTTCAAGCCTTTATAATATATATTCCTTTATAAATGACATTATTAACTGTATAACTAATATGAAAAATAGCGTAAAAATAACGATATTCTCTATAGAAACTGTCTAAACCTATATTATGAATAACATCATTTTATTCCAATAACGTTGTTTTTCAATACTGGCGGTAAAAAATAAAAATAACGTTTCATTGCAATAACGTTATTTGTAGTAAAAATTCATAACATAACGTCCAATAACGTTAGTAAATAACGTCATTCAATTACGTCAATTTTTCAATAGGGAAATGTTTATATATATCTACATCTACGTATGGTTGTGACGTCACGTTGCATATAAGATACCAGATTTGATCACTGTCAAGAACATGTTTAGGTATACTAATTTATTTGTACCTTAACTGTGACCATTCTAATCATAAAGAATCGTATGTACGAGTTACCACATACAAGTGTTTCAAATATATATTACGTCACTGTTACAGTAGGCAACTCATTATTTTTAATTTCAATAGAATTTTCGAGTAATTAAAATAAAATTGCCCTTTATGAACCTTGCTAGCCAAATTCATTTGAAAAGTTTACCAACGTTTTAGTGACACTTCATATAAAAACTGAGAAGTAGAATCATCTTATGCATTAAAAGAATAATTGAT